TGTCGCACCTGCATAATCAGTTTAAAATTTTTAATGTTGTCACATTCACTTCACATCTATGAGCTATTACAAAAAAGTATTCTTTGTTTCACGTATACCTAAAATATAGGTTTTTTAGGTACCTACCTACTTGTTACAAAAAATACATATCTTAGCTCGATTGACATAAAAACTGTTGCCTTTGTTTTTAGTTGATTTTTTTTTTCTACTTCCGCGCGTGAAGTACTTACTTTAAGTACTGTTCAAAAGACGTGAAAATAGATTTTACGCACTATTGCGTAAAGTAATTCACAACAGCAAAAAAGTTTATTAAGGGCCGATATTATAAAACTATTTTGACAGATACCTAACTAAAAGTTAACGTCTGAAATTACCATGAGAAGTAATGTCATTCTAGAAGTTAACTTTTAGTTATTCTGTTAAAATAGTTTTATAATCCCCGCCCTAAATTGCATTAGTTTTTTCGCAAAAATGCATAAATAATAAATACCCACAAGTATGGAATTTTATATCACAAAAGCCTTTGCTGCCCTTTTTCTGCGTTAAAAATGTACTTTTACTTTACACCCTGTGAACTTAGTTAGTCACTAGGGCGTAAAGTTGTAGTAGGTATATTTTTTCAAATGTATGGCTTTATATTGTCGGTACTAGAATTTTTTTTTGGTATAAAATATAAACAGATGTCTGAAGTGAACCTTTTTTCACAAATGTATGAAAAAAGAAGCTTTACACACCTGTTGCATACATTTTTTTTCTACTTCCGACAATATTATAAGCGGGCGATATAGATGATAACGCTCGATGCCAAAAATTTGAAAAAAATATACCAGAACTTCACGCCCTATAGTGTCTAAAGTAACTTAGTTCACAACCAAAAGTGTGAAGTAAAATCACATTTCTAATGCAGAAAAAGGGCAGTAGAGGCTTTTATAATATAATATTTTATACTTGTGGGTATTTATGCATTTTTGGGAAGAAACTACAATTTAGTAAACTTTTTTGTTGTTGTGAATCACTTTACGCAATAGTGTGTGAAATCTAATCCAACGTTTGAACAGTGCGTAAAGTCAGTACTTCACGCAAGGCAGTAGAAGAAAAAAAAATCAACTAAAACCAAAGGCAACTGTTTTTACGTCAATCGAGCTAAGATATGTATTTTTTGTAACAAGTAGGTACCTAAAGAACCTATATTTTAGGTACGTGAAACAAACAATACTTTTTTGTAATAGCTCAAAGTTGTGAAGTGAATGTGACAACATTAAAAATTTTAAACTGATTATGCAGGTGCGACAGGTACATGCAAACTGACAAGGTTGCTATGACGACTTTCAGGAACTAGGCCGAAAATTGAGCATTTCACGGTGTAGGCCGAAAATGAAGATTTACAGACAGAAATGAGTTAAAAAAATAGCTATTTTTAGGCGCGTATATACAAAAAATAGAGTTTTCACATCCTGCATAAGTTTTTTTTTTTTGGATTCTCAAGTTCTTTTCGACTATATTTCGCGAATGACTTAACCTATCACAAACTCAAAAACTGTTTCAAAATTAGAAAAAAAGCGCATATTTTTAAGCTTCTTTTGGTAAGAAGTACCTACGGTCTAAGTTCACAGCTACGGTTCAAAGAAAATTGAAGAAAACCAATTCAATTTATTTTCCTATATTTTTTTTTTGACAGAAATACTACCTGTCAAAATGATTTTATATTTTTATTTCATTCTTTAGTCCAAAACAAAGGTATTTTTTTTTACTTGACGAAAATCGGTTAATAAATAAGAAAGTTACAATTTTTTTCCAGCCGCCATCTTTAATTCATCATGGCGGAAAAAGCAAGCCTCCTAGGAGGTGTAACTTTTTTTTACAGAGTACTATTGATGGGTATTATCATCTGTGAAAAAATCAGCTACTTCTCCTATTTTTGCTAACTGCCGGCCTATGTATCTCCAAAACGGAAAAAGATAGAGACCTGCGGTTTACGACATTCGATTCGTCATAAAAAATTAGCCCAGGAATGTGAAATCAAAAAAAATCTTCCTCTATGAGTTTAGCAGATAACCCCCAATACCATCTTAAATGGGACACCCTGTACATTCTTGGACAAATTATAGGTTCCAAAACACGAAAGCGAAGTCTATAGTACTGGAACAGAGCAACCAAAAAGCCTGGATAACTTAACGTGAGCTATCATTTCTTTAGGGATGTGATTGCAAAAAATAATGCAAAGATTGATTATTTGCTAACAGCTGATATTTTAATATTTTTCAAGCTTTCAAAATGTTACTTGTTAGAATAAAGATGAAGCTAGGTGTAACGGTTGCTCACGTTAATTTTCTTACTTTTGATAAGTGTTGGTATTAAAATATATCAGAAAACTTTTCATTAACGATTAACGCCCTATAAGTAATTCCCTCGACAATTATTGCGCTATAGATCCCCTACTATACAGAGAGTTTAGTTTATATGATTCACGAACCCTATTGTGACGACGTAAGGGTGGCGCTTTCGCCAGAGCGCACAGAATAGGATAGCCGAATTCTAGATTTTACAGTGCTATTCGGGAAAAAAGGCTATCGCTTTGATTCTGGATTTTACAAGAATGGATTATGGATATATAAAGGCCAGTATTGATTAGTAGTTTTAAGTTTGAGATTGGTTGTTATATAGATTTAGATAGTCAATATTGTAAGAGTTGTAAAGAGTTGTTTGAGTTAATTAGTGAAGTAATTAATGCCAGAGTATATAGTAACGTGCAATAAATAATTGTTGTGTTAATTGGACTTTGATTTTTGAATAAACGGACCCAAGATTTCTGTCACGCATCCCAGAGCCGTGACACTATATAACTTTGACATTCTGTCATGAATAAATGACAGGCAACAGTCTCTATCATAGATAAGGGATACAAAACTCTCTCGAACCTATAATATAGATGGGCAACTCAATACAAACATTTTGTTCCTGATTAGGTACAGCGCCGTCTCGCGTGTGTAGTCAGCAACTTGAGAACGCGGGAAGCGCTCCTTTTTGGATTTAATTTTTTTTTCTTTAGGATGCGTTTATCATTTTTTATTGCCACTAGCACTAAACAGTTTAATATATTTTTAGTGGAAATAAAATTATGGTAAACAGTCTCTTGATCACATGCCGAAGAGTTACATACTAATTAATCCATGTATTAAATACAAAAATAACAATTTTGAATTACTTTATTAACTATACAGTATGATATCAATCCAATCAATAATAGTTTCCTACAATGAATGAGATTTTTTGATTGTAATTTCGGTATAATGTAGGGATCGAAACATACCTGCTCATCATTTTTGGGAATTCGATGCATTTTTACTCTGTTCCCTCGGTTTCACACATTGCCATACAACAAGATGAAACTATTTTGCTTTGAACGGAGAAAATTTTCAATCTCTGATTCAAATTATTGAATAAAAATGGAATAAGTCAAAATTTGTCAAAATATGATGAAAAAGTGAAAGTGAAGCGACGCTGCCACATGTCAAAAGCATGGGATATTTTTTTTGAAAAAGAATAGTTATTTTTCTCCGAATGACAGTAAAAGCGGCCTTTCAATGACACTTGACAGGATCAAAAGTTGTATTTTTACTGCCTAGGCAGTAAAAGTGGACTTTTCCTGCCTAGGCATTAAAAGTGACAGTGTCATAACGTTCCAGGTAAGAATTTCACTCAATTTGGTATTTGAAATTGATGGTGACAATGACAATTGTCAAAATAATTTAATTATTTGGATAATAATAATGAATGAAATAAATATAAAAAAGATGTCCATGTGTGAATTTGAACATTCGGAGAAAAAAATATATGTTTTACATGGCAGAAAAGCAGATGTAATGCCTCGGCTGGTTTCCTAACCTTGGCTATGCCTCGGCTATGAAACACCAGCCGCGGCATTAAATCTTGTACTTTTCTGCCTAGTAAAACAAATGTAATTTCAAATCCTACTACTGGCAATTATACGTTAGCGAGGCACACGATTTTTTTTCCATTGTTGGAAGCTTTTTAAAACAAATGGACTGTACTTTTTATGTATAAATCTGACAACAGCATTGAACGACAGCGCCTCTGCCGTCTGTAGTCGCAAGCTTTTAGCGGAACAAATTGCGCCATAAGAGTTGCACATGCATGGTCTCTATCTTGAATTCAACCAAACTATATCGTTTTATTTTTCCCACACATTAACATTGACAATATTCACCAAAAGCTCTCTGTTCTCAATTCATATGAAGTAGCAGTTCGTAAGCAAATTCCTTTGTTTCCAAGAAATGTTATCATACTATTTAACCCTTTCGCTCACTGTGTACACATTTGTGTACATCAATTTCTAAGGACCCCTATATAGATTCAGAAAGGATTTAGGCTATTTGTTCATGTTGTCCACATTTGTGTACGTCATATTATTAAAATAAATTACTAGTGCTTCCATCTAGGGGTTTTTTATGGAAGTTTTTTTCTGGTATTTCAACAGCTTACATACATAAATTGAGCACCGCCTACAACATATTTTCCTGGATTTTTCTGGCAGTTTTTTTGTGGTAGAAAAAGTTTGAAAAAAATAAAAATAAACTAATAAAAGGTGGTTTTATGAGTGCAAAGAGCGGCATTTACGGTTTTTTGTCTGGAAGTATTTTGTTTTTGTCCTTAGGGCCACGTACACATTTGTGTATACTGAGAGTGAGTGGAATAAAATAGGTAACAAGGTAAACTTGATCTCACTTTTTTTCCAATTATATTGGTAGACAGTTAAATATTATAGAATCCTGGTCCATAATGAGTCGAAATCGCCCGCTAACAGATAATCTGCTATAGAATTAATAGAGACCGGATTATCAGACGTTGAAGGACTCAGTAACGGTGAATTCAATGAAGATGATGGGCTTTCAGAGAAATTCTGATGCTGAAGGTACACTACTTGTCGCTAATGTTTATTAGATATTGTGTGTCACGTAACACATATTTCTACCTCACAGAATTACCGGAAGTGCTGATGATTGATGAGGAGGCAGAAGTGGAAGAAGTTGAAGAAGCTGAACAGCTGGAACAACTTGGAGCTGAACCTGAACCTGAAGAGGTTGAACAGCTGGAACAACCCGGAGGGTGTAAAGGAAGATCTAGATTTTTGTGTCCAAGATGTAGTGTTCACCTCTCTCACAAAAAAGAGCAACTGTTTTTCAATATATCATACAAAATAATTGTTTTGTTTAGTCTATCTTTTATACCATTGACTTCCAATGTCCACAAATGTGTACATTCAAAAACAAAAAATTGGCCCACCATACGGAAAAAAAAATTATTCCATAAATTCATAAAAAAATCAGAGAGTTGATAAACAAAAAACCAATTTTTTGTTTTGAAAAATAAAAATTCATGAGCGAAAGGGTTAAGATGAAAAAAAGAACGTACAAGCGATAAGCTTTATTTAATATACAGGGTATCCACTTAGTGCGATATCGGACAATATAGCCTTACAGGGTGATGCAAGAAAAAAAAAATACAAAGGTTTGATACTCTAATATGCATTAGTTAGAAATATTTTCGAATATACAGGGTGCTCTTTAAATGGGGTATGCGAAAGAACTCTGTTCTTTTAAATGGAACACCCTGTATGTGATTGCATTTTTGGATTCTACGTAAAATTCTGAACAGATTTCATGTAATATACCCTATATCTAAGTTCAACTGGTTTGGAAATATTGACAGTTGAAAATTGACTTTTTGCAACTTTGACAGGCTGTTAAACCTAAACGGTTAATTTCAAACGAAAACCGATTTTACATTCCTATCCTAAATTATAACTCTGAATTTAATCCATGATTAAAAAAACCAGTTAAATTTAATCTCCGGTTAAATTCAAAGTTAATGTCAAATGATAGTTTATGAAAATCTAAGATAGGAATGTTAAACCGGTTTCCTCTAAAATTAACCATTAAGGTTATACAGCCTGTCAAAGTTGCAAAAAGGCAATTTTCAACTGTCAATATTTCTAAAACAGTTGAACTTAGGTATAGGGTATATAACATGAAATCTGCTCAGAATTTTACGTAGAATCCAAATATGGAATCACATACAGTGTGTTCCATTTAAAATAACAAAGTTCTGTCGCATACCCTATAAACGGAGCACCCTGTATATTCAAAAATATTTTTAACTAATGCATATTAGAGTATCAAGCAACTGTGTTATTCAATTTTTTTTTCTTGCGTCACCTGTAAGGAGATGTCGTCCGATAACGCACTAAGTGGACACCATGTATATTGAAAAAAAAAAAAAAAGTAATAGAATAAAACACACAATACTTAACTACCATAAGGTTGACCTTTATTAATATGTATTTATAGCAGAAAGTAAAACATTCCGTATGATGAGCTTCATGTATTTTACATGAGCTTAGCTGTAGACTGGTTCATAATCATGAATTCAAGATTGTGGAAAACAAACAACAGGTATTTTTATTAGCTGCGTATCTATTCCTACACATACTTAATGTTAATTATTGTTTCTAAATCTGATTTATTATAATTAAATAATATCGTTATTACCTCGGACAGCTCGCATGAAGTACCCAAGTTTTCCCAAAGAAATTATGGTTTCAGGTCTAGTGGCTTTTTGAATACTTTAGGTACACGGTTAATAAAATTCACCCGGAGAAACTAACAAAAATATAACAGAGAAAAAAATCCACTCACAAGATAAGGAAAGAGATTTGACTAGCGGGAAAATGCAGAGTGATTGAACCTGTTCCAATTGTCATTTGAAAAATATCAGTTGAAATTCAGATTTTTCAAATGTAATTAGGAAAATCTCAATTGTAGTTCAGATTTTTTCACTTAGTCCACCTGGTGATTGAATTATTTTTTTCGAATACACGATTTTTTGAGAACTATCCCGAGTCGCTCGAACAAACAAAGTTGAATAAGCAGTTTCTCTCTATTGTATGAATGACACTCCAAGATCTTTATCAAAGCTTTATTTTTAAAAACCAACTAGGAGGTATCCAAATGAAATTTACTACATTGTCATTCAGTAAAGAGAAAAAAAAAGTGATATGTATTTATACAGGGTGTCCCACTAAGGTCGGCCAGGTACGATTACGATATTATGGAAACCATAGACTCTACGGCTTCGGGATTTTTTTTTTATCCACTAAAACGGCCAAGACAAATTGATGAAAATTGTTTTCAATTTTCTAAAATGACCGCTAGGGGGCGCAATTACGATGATATAGCTAAAAATTCAAATTTTTTAAAGAAATCGCTATATTAAGATACTGTTTTAGCAACAGAAATCAAAAGTTCATTAAATTGTGCGCTAGTTTGGTTTTCAGACTTTTTCAGCATCTTGGCATCTTCACTGATAAGGGTGGGGGAAGCTGGTGAAAAAATAGTTTTAGAAATTGCTGTATCTCCCATACCACTCATCCAAACTCATTCAATTTGGGTCTATTTGGACGAGAATTTCATTGTTATTAAGAACACCAATTCGTTCGGGGTCGATAGTTCCCACCGCGTCTTCTAGAGGGCGCTGTTTATCCAAGATCCAGTTTTTTCTAATTTTCATGAAAAATCTAAATGGCATGATATTATTTTTTATTGCTGTGCTTGAAGAGCAAAAAAATATCTACATTTTGGCGCAAACCGCAACGACGATGCGTTCAACAGGCTGAACATATAGCCGGAGAGCCAGCGCCGAAAAAATTCTCTGAATTTACTAAAGCCAGTTTTTGGTCAGTTGATTGTAGTATTTACGTACATAAACATACCTCGGTCAGTCAAGCGAAACTTGGGACAAGGACCTAGGGTGTCTGGTTGAAGTTGTCGAGATAGCTATATCCTGTTCACAATCCGATGTCCACAGGTGCAGGTAAATTTATCACCTTTCCCTATCAAATAGCATTGAAAGGTTATTTTACCTGTACCCACCTGTGGACATCAGATTGTGAACGGATAATAGGTAATGCAACGATTTTACTAAGGCTGAAAATCGCTATACATATTATACAGTGTCATTACTTAAGTGTGCAACATATCGGATTCTTTTTTTAAGTAATAGCACAATCAAAATACGAACAAGGCCAAAAGTTGGTGCATGTCTGATAATCATATTAGGTGCACTTAGAATGGTTGCAAGTCAAACAACATACAGGGTAGCTCAAAAAATATCAAAATTGTAGTAATATTTACTTGAATAAAATAAAACTTTTGCACTTTAAGGAGAGTTTTTCTAATATGCATATTATCATTAGTGATGTTTTAACTTGTTAAAAAAAAAATTGCGACATTTTGAAGTTGTGTTTAATATCATTGCAATAAACATGAATTTTGTGATTTCATGAAAAATTAAAAATCTAAATAAATGGAAAAACATACTTTTTTTCAGGCATACTCACAGAAGGGTTTCGATTTAATGGTGTAGTGACTTGAAAAGCTTTCCTCTTTAATTCCGTTTAGTAGAACAAGGCTGGAAAACTCGCACCTAAAATTTTTACATGAATTTTCCACAGGCTTTTACATAGAAAACCATTCCTTGGACTTCTCCGGAAAAACTGGCGGCACTCCGCTTGCTTGCTTCATCAAGTTGTCACTATAGGAATTTCAGTCGCCAACAGAGGATCCGCAGAGAGCGTCACATCTAGCACTTTCACTAATTGCTCTAATTATCACAAAACTCGCGCTTGAAAATTTAATTATCGGCACTAGTAAACTTGTGGTACCTACTTTTAGTGAACTTATCCCACTTCTGATATAAGAAAACGCTAGACTTTCGGCAATAAAAATAGTTTATTTTAAATTCACTAAAATATCCAGGCGACGATGCGTTCAACAGGAGGATTTTTTCAAGTTAACGTTATGTCCACACATTAGGTACTTCTTTTAATACATAAATGTTTTTCGGAGTGGCACCCCAAAAAAAAATTGTTTTTGATGACTTAAAATAAACTTTTTTGGGCGTGGCACCCGTGGAAATTTTTCGCCTCCGGCTGGCTTTTCGTCTTCAATATTATCTCCCAATAAGCAAATAGTACAAAAGCATACAAAAATTCATTTGTTACCACCCCCCTCCACCAAAAGAATTATGCGCCTCCTCATATGTTTGCCCTCCCGCCCCGCAAGGCTGGCTACGCCACTGGTTTTAATCCAACACTGTTGTGTTCCGCCACGCTATCTACCAGATTTTGGATAATATAATTTATAAGTTTTTAATTTTGTATTTCGCCGAAGCACGCCAGAATAATGCAAAAGCAGGGAGTCGGCGGAACAGATAAGACAGAACATAGGTCAAGATGTTTCTTCTTTCACGCCTCGAAGCCAAAAGATAAATAGCACACAAATATAGGTGATAGACAGTGGACGGTGGCGGGTATATGTTCCAACGTTTGTTCACTGATATTATAATCTTTGTATGGAAAATAAGGATTTATTATTAGAAACCAAGAAACAAATTGAAATTTCAACTAAATTGTGTTAAAATGGAACATTATATATTTATTAATCTATAGTCATCATTTGTTCATAATTACTAAACCAGAACATTCTGTTAATAAATTTTATTTATAAAACCTTTGTAAACCAATCTAAGAAGTATTTTGTTTATTATCAACAAACATTGTTTGAAATAAGAAAATGGAGTCCTAATAAATCATTTGTATTTTATAAATAACTGTTTTCAACAGTCATATTTTTAATTACCAATTTAATGTATTTCTTACCAAAGCATATTAATTATAATATTGGTTTGGTATTTGTAACCAAATTTGTCAGAAACAAAAAACAAATTTGTTTATTATAATTCCGAATTTTCTTTCAGTGTATCATACAACTGCACAGAAATTCTATCAGCTGTTGGTATTAGAGAGTCCTATCGCTCTCCAGCTTGATCAAGATACTTTGGTTCCAATGGTTCCAGACATATGCGTTGGTTATTTTTTTTTTAAATACCTATCATCCTTTTTTACAAGGAAAGAGGAGAAAATTATATGATCTAAGGATCGTACCAATTTAACTTTGTGTATATAGACAATGAGCTCTGGCTTCTGGTTTAAATCCCATATTTTTATTCTCTCAACTTACTACTCACTATAAAATATCGCTGTATATGAGTATATGAAGACATTTTGACTCCCGACGTGAAACTT